GTAATACTCGCAGCGAAAAACTCGGGTTTTCTTTTTTTTTTTTTTTTTTTTTTTTTTTTTTTTTGATAACATGTATATTGACGAGTCTCTCTCGGGCGAGTGAATCACAAATCGTGTGATACGCATTTGCGCGCATCTCGCGCATTAACTTAAACTTGTTTATTTGTAATTTCGCATAAATGTGTGTTTATTACCTGAAGCAAGTACGAATAAAACATGACCGGATGTATGTAATTCGCTGCGCAACAACCAACAATTATCTGTCGTACAACAACGAAGTTCGGCAGTGACACGGAAATTTTGGTGACACGATTTATAGACGCGCGCGACATTTATATTCGTCTCTCTGTGTTTGATCAATATCTTGTACAACTATATATATGTGACAACATAATATATTAAGACTCGCTTCTCAAATTTCTCCAACTCTTCTCGATATAAGTTCATAGTTCGGGAACACATTCGGTTACTGCTTGAATTCAAATGACTCGACGCGCGCCAGCAAATAACGTAATTAGAACGACACGAAAGTTATAAAATAGGAATAACTGTGTTTTGAATACTCTGTGTGTGTGTGTGTGTGTGTGTGTGTGTGTGTGTGTATGTGTATATATATATTTACATGAATTGAAGTAGATTATATTAGTACAGATGTATATATAGATTGTGTGATTAAATATTAAATATCACATTTGAGTAACCATCACCGAAAAACATTAATAAATGCAACGATACATCGCTACTCTTTTTCACGGAGTGTTTAGTATTGTATCATGCATATCAGAGGGGCACTTGTACTGGCGAATATATACTCAGGCGATGTACATTTGGCGTTATTGGAGTATCATCGAGTCGTTAAAAAAGATTTCGTTCTCCTCTACACAAATGTAAAAAAAAAAAAAAAGAAGCGTCAAGAAGCGAAATAATAGTCCGGTATGAAAAAAAATAAAACTTCTACTGAAAAAACGTAGATGGTAAAGCTGTTTCGTAATAGCCATTGTATTCGCATATCACGCTCGTTTCGAAATCTCTAAACATCAAGAGAGTATAGGGAAAGTAATTGGAAAAAATCCATTAACTGTGTTTCTGTGTAACAATGATTAAAAACAAAAAAAAGTAGCTCGACGGACGTTCGAAAGCCATTCACATAAGCGCGTATAAAAATCTTCTATGTAGAAAATATTTTTTAAATAATTAATTTCGCGCGGAATATATAAATATAAATATGTATATGTCTCTTGTCTACGTGGAAATAATGTCTCTTGTCTACGCTGATCGTAAGTATCGTACCTTGAGAGAGAAAGGTCTCTGTGGTTTTTCTTGAGAGGGTTGTTGGGGTACGGAGGACACCTCGGACGCGCTCGTTGGAGTCGCCCCGGAAGATCCGGAGGTTACAGGAGTGGGGGGACCGACTGACTCGGCCGGACTGTCCCCCCCGGACGTTGACGAAGAAGGAGATTTAACCTTACCCTGCAACCAGCCCAACCAGCGTGCCTTGTTAAGTACTCAGAGTCCGCCACCAAATTGCCACCAAATCACCATCAAACACCGTGCTGTCGAGTGTCTTCCCACGGCCCGAAGTGTGTGTTATAAAATTTTTTTCGCAAGCGCAATTCAATATCAAAGCCCATTCAGAGTGTGAATTCGCAAATCATATCTTATGAAAACAATAATTGACCTGAACTAGGACACGTATTAATTTACTTGTGTACTATCTTCTTTAAAAAAAAAAACTCGAACTCGACATCGTGTACAATACAATGCCACTTTACGTGAGATATTAACAACTGACAACACTATGATAAGTAACATTACGGCGATTACACACACGGTTGCTACTTCAACTAAATAACAATACGTTACATTCAAATCTTTTTGTATCCTATATCTATATGTATATAAAATTGATATCTTCATGAAAATCTTGTTTGATCATAAAACGGCATGCAGAGAGTGCTTCAAACAAGATAAATATCTATCTACTTAATTTGTGTGAACATATCGTTCACCGCTCGTTCACTCGCGCACTCATTCGTAACTCCGTCAATATATTTTGGAACTAACAAATAATGAAGCAAAACGATAAAATGCTAATACACGTTATGCCATATATACATATGTACACAATCTTATAAAAAAAAATGTTGACATTAATTACTCCGCCGGTTCCAAAATATTGAGACTGTTTTTCAACGAAGAGAAACTTCGCCAAAGCGCTAAATTTAATTTTTCGACAACAATTCTTACTTCGAAAAAACTGAAACACACTGATTTAAACAGAAATGTTCAATCCTGTAGTGAATGCATAAATTTATTACACAGACAACATGCGCTTACCATCAAGTACAGCTGAAATGTCAGAAAGAGGATTGTGTTAGGACAACATGTAACAGCTCTGGCAACCAAGATTATTTACGGCGCAAAATAAAATGAGACATTATGTTCTCCGTTATGTACAAAAAACAAAAAGCGACAGAACGATAAACCAATTCGCATACACGTGAAATAAAACAAACAAAATAAACAGATGGATTACAAATCAATATTGATTTACTCTGCCTGAAATCGAGCACTTGTATGTTCTACTTTATAAATAATATTGCAACTGTCTGTATTTATATACAAGCGATAGCTTAAATCAAAATGTACCTCCGCATAGCTATATGTATATCAATGTACTTTAGAAGAAAAAAAAAAATTCTGTACTTCCTGAGAGATTGACAGATAATGTGTTTCGCACATTATTCTTTTCTATACTAAACACCCGTGCCCAGATGCAAGAAGTAGCTGTCGCATGAGCAGATTTTAATATTATATATCAATTAAACACTTAACATTCCGAAATTTCGCACCAAATTGTGTCAGTTTTTATTTCTTGTTTGTGTGTCTCTGTATATATATATATATATATATATATATACTTTTTTTTTTTAAATTAATAAAACAGTAAAACCTTAATAGCAATAATACGAGTAGAATCGAATCGATAAACACACGATAACAACGTAAATAAATGAGTGTTTTCTGCAATTAGTCAGTTCAGTTCAGTTTTTCTAAATTCACTTGTGTCTCTAAATTGTTTTTATGTAATCCTGTGGTTTTACCTTCGTCACTGCCTGCAAGAACGCCGCTTTTCCCACCTTCTGTCGTTGCTTCGACATCACGACTTCCATCCTGCGCTTCTCGTTCTCTATGTGCCGTCGTTTCTCTTCGAGTTTCAGTCGTATGTTGTTCAACTGCGAGGCCATTATCGTGTTACCGCCGTTTTCATCTGGCATCACAGAGTATTTTCAGTAACAAACTTCGAAGAAAAATCGTCTTTTGAAGTAGAATTTTATACGTACCATTCGAGGCTCGATCAAAACTTACCGACAGAATGTTGCTCCGTCTGTTGCGACTGTTGACTGCTCTGCTGTTGCCACGTCGTGGTGTTTGGCAAAGTGGCGAACGTCGTTTTCTTCTCGCCGTTACCGTTGCCGTTGCTCTGACCCTGTTTCTTGATCGGTTTCGCGTTGTCCGCTTGCCGTTCCTGTTCCGTGTATGTAAAATTGATCCCCTTTTCCGAGCTCTGTCTGCTCAGATTCGCGAAACTGGCCAGTTTCGTGACGGCGTCATTGTTGCTGCCGTTGCCGCCGTTGCCGCCGTCCGCGCCACCGTCGTTCTCTGCGCTGGAATGTAATATATGCCGGAGAGCGACGTTATCCAGACTGGAGTTAGACGCCTGCCGTCGCAACCTCGGCGGCTCCTCGTCGCCGCCGTAACCGTTGTCCGCGATTATGTGTTGCACGCCGCTGCCGTACACGTCCTGGACGCTGGATCGCGCGGGCAACGTCGGCTCGGTGGTGCTGCGCTTTCCGATGTGCGCGCCTACCTCTTTATCCGGATTTCTACCAAAATTGTGTAAATTATCCTGGATAAAAGAAATCACTCGATCATACCGCTTGTCCTCACGAGACAATCCTCTCTCGCTTTCCGCGCGAAGATAAACGAAATAAAGACACACAAATGTGCGTTATTTCCTTTTTTTTTTGTTTTTTTTTTTCGTGCCCCGTTCCTGTAACATACCTGAGAGCCGCCAAAGTTCTCGATGGTCAGTTGAGAATCGTCCGTGATGCTGTTCCGTCTAGATCGACGTCCCGCGTATGAGCTTCGCCGTTGATCTTCCCAGTTGCTCGGTCGACCGGCGGCTTCGGTTCTAGTTACCGACTTGTCGTCGGTCACGGAACTTAACGTAGGCACACCCTTCCCACGATGCACCACGAAGCTTTCTTCGCTTCCCGCGCGTCTACAAAATAAAGATCTAAGTAAATTCGAGATAACTTTGTAAAATAAATTGTGCTGTACGATTTCAAATGTAACACACACACACACACACACACACACCTGTCGTCGTACGGATGACTTTCGACAGTCTGTTGCAAGGATTGCGACTTCTTCACGGTGCTGCTCGGAGCTGACTTTGCAACTAAAAAAGATAACACAATGATTAATCGATAGTTTGTTCACGTCCACTCTGTCAAATGAACAAGTCATTCATCACTCAAATACTATAATTTGAAAAAGACGGTAGGATGCTCAACAAATGATAAAACTTGTAGTTTACGTTACATTATAAAGAAAGCTTTTTACACAACAGATTATTTTGTATAAACACAACACGAAATTTTCCAATATTTTACATTAAATATATGAAGCTTACGCAACAGATTATTGATCAGATCGTTAGTGGAATATTCAAATGTACCGGTTTCTTTTTCTTCCGAGCTTCAATTAACTTGTTCGACAAAGTGGATGCAGTGGATGAAAAAAAAAGAAAAAAAAACAAACAAACGCAACGCGAGTTCGCAAATCGATTACGTGTTTTTAACTTGCGCCAATTCCGAAGATTTTCGAGAATTTCGAGCACTCGAAAAAAAACGGAACTGGAAAGGAAAAGCTCTTAGGAAATTTACTCAAGAGAAAAAAAAACACCTGTAAACACAAACACATACATCCGTGCCACAAATTAACGTTCTAGAGTTTCTAATTTTTTTTTTTTTTTTTTTATCGCAGAGTATCGGACAAATCTAACAAAGTAACACAAATAACGAGCATGTGTGCACTTCGACGTGTACTTAATTAATAATATAATAAAAGAGAATCCATAATTTATATATGTAACACAACGTCGCAACATAATCGTACCAACTAAACATGGAGTGGACTTTAATGAACGAGACGAGGTTCTCATCTTTCTTGTCGCACCGTGATAGCGATGACTCGTGGCGGCACACGACACAAATCTCATGCAAAAGAAACGTAATGTGAAGCTAACGTCCAATGCAGAAGCAGCAGGCAGCGCGATGAATTGTATATGCATGAAAGTATGCGTATCTCGCATGCAGGTATGTTCTCGATGGAGAATATACAGTATAAATACTCGGCATACAGTAGTGACTCACACGTGTTTTGTTCATGTACTTATAGATATTAAGAACAATTGCGTTATCTCCTTCCTGAGATTTGAGATATATATAAAAAAATATATATATATATTAATCAGCAGAGAATTCGAGGAGTCAATTCGTTTGATTCAAAACACACAAATGTTTTTGTTCGACCGATAAGAGGAAGATAAAACAATTATTTTTAATATGCAGAAAAAGATGTAAAATAAATTTTACACACACGTTAGAGTAGATACATGTATACATCGTAAAACTAAGTTTTCACAAAGATCGGATGAGATGCAAACAATATTATGATTATAGAAACAAGCAGTGCGTTCCTCACGAACTTCGCCAAAAAAGAGATTAGATCTCAGCTATTGATTTTTAAATGCAAAACGCACATAAAATTGTCGATACAACAAATTGCCTCTCTCTTGCTTCCGCGTCACAAGACTACGACCTAATAAATAATTTACATTTATCTCGATATGAGAAGAATGATATGTATACTGCGCTACTGAGAGCCATATGTTAGACTTTTATTTTTTACGTACTTCTATATTAAATCAATGAAATATGATAACTGTTCTAAATTCGAAACACGTGTGTGTCTATTTTTAAAAAGTTAAAAAACTATCAAATATCTAAGTACTTTGTCTATATGTATATATATATATATTGAGATTAGAATTGTTTTAAAGCTTTGTATAAGCGACAATTAGTTAGCTATGAGTAAGATGAGTGTGCGTTCATTTAAAGACGAATGACCTATAACACACCTACGGAACGAAGATAAATGCGAATAGGCGATCGGGTTGAAAAAATCCCCCCGGATCACATTTTAATTAAAAACGGCAAAAATGTCTCCGCGAAAATGTGACTCGCAAGGGGTAGACGACCACCTAGTTCATGAGTTTTTGATTCTTTGGTAATTCTGTGGATACCTGTGAAACCTGGCGTAAAATCGGAGAGGTTGCTTCTCAGATCAGGTATCGGAGCTATAGACTGTGGCAGGCTTCTCTTATGAGCTACGCCATGACTATTGCGCGGGCAGGCTGCACACCCGTCGCCGCGCCGTGTCATTGTGGTTCACGGTCAACCGGAAGTTGGCGAAAGAAGAAGGCGAGGATAGGCGTTGTCGTGTCAAGCGTCAAGAAGAGGTTACGCCATAGAAATATATGGAAATATTACAGTTGTAGATTAGGTGCTTCTTTTACTTTTTTTTTTAGCGTGTGTAGACACAGTAAGTTCGTAGTTTTCGCTGATACACATCTTTTTTTCGCTCGTTGCTGCGTTCGTTGTTCGTTTTCCGCAAACGGTCGCCAATTCGTATTAAAATAGAGAAGTGTAAAATGTAATTAGTTGCTGCACTCGGGAGGAGTTCGGATCGAGAGGGATTTCGAGTATGTGTATTGACACTGATAAAAAGCGTGATTACCATTACGATTGCAAGCAATACTTTTCTCGACTTTTTTTTTTTTTTTTTTTTATTATCGATTTTATTTGACATATTTGAAGTGACCTTCGCACATCTCGTTAATTATAAATAAAATTTCTCTGTTGACAACGCGCACGCATTGACTGCAATGGCAATGGAATTTCATGGAGAAAAGTATAACAAACTAAATCATAGAACGAGTATATATAAGAGTCCAATACAGAGTAATACGGCAGCCTCCACCAATCACATTTATCCACCACCAATTTTCACGACTTCTCTCTCTCTCGTACTCTCCCTCTCTCTCTCATCGAAAAAATATAGCTCAACGTGCCACATATCGTCGCGCAGCTCTGTGTCTAAAATTCATGTGTCTCTCACATTCGCCAGAAAATATTTTACGTACCATCCAAATACTGCAACGCTCGCTCCTCTCCGGGATAGCGCACGCACTTAGCCGGATGAATTTCCAGGACATTGTACATGTCCGCCAGGAAGACCACTAGGTTCTGCTTCATAGATCTAAAAATCAAAGATGTTTTTCATCATAACAATTTTTCTCGATTGAATTCAATTTTCGTCACAACTCCGAGCTCTAACGCACCCTCTCATATACGTCACGTCCTCGGGTTGCATGTGGAAAATCGAGTAGGGCAGACACTTGACGCAAAACGCGTGAACCAAGGAGAGATTGTGCAGCGCGTCCGCCACGGAGGGTCTCTTCGACACCCTGATCTCCATCCAGTTGATCTCGCCGGGACAGTAGAACGCGACGACCGCCGCCAGGCCCACGCCGTCGCACAGGGATTGAAAGTCTTTTGCGACAGGCAGTTCGGGCAGCCGCGACTTGTCACCGGCGCCCTCCTCGCTCTGGATCTTGGCGATCAGCGCGTGCGAGGCGTGATTGATCCAGAGCAGAAGACCCTTTTCGTGGTCCGACGGCACGTCCACCGTTGCCTGAGGATCGAACCGTCGAATCGCCGATACTACTCGATCACCCGTCACCACCTCTTTCGCATACAAGACCATCAAGCCTTCTATCACAGCCATATGCGCGGACTGCGACGAGAAATAAGGAAAAAGACAGATGTCGATTAATAAAACGTTTGACGCTCAGAAAAGTTAACACATTTCGAGACCAACGTTCTGTAACAAAAAACTATCCCCAGTAGTAGCCGGCAATTTTTATTTTACCGATATTACGAACCACATGCTGAGACATTGCACATCATCGGCAAAATGATGTGAGACATTGCATGATATGCTGAGTCGTCGTCAGTCTCGAATGCGTTAATGTGTAAAACTTTTGCAGAATCATGGTAATGCGCGTGTTCTGACAATTTCGGAACATCACTTCGTGTGACACAAATGCAAATATTCAGAGAAAAGAGACTGTTGTACAGGTCTCTCTCTCGGCTGAGCGCTGGCAAGTAAGAGCGCTTACCATCTTGAGTGGTGAATTTTGAATGAGGACCGTTTCGGTGAGCTGAGTATTGTTCTGCTCCGCGACGTAGACGCCTTTCCTGGCCAGAGCTTGCAAGATCCCGTAATGGTTCTGATTGTGATAGTTGGGATCTGAATATATGTTGGCCAGAGCGAGGCAGTAGAGTTCCGCATTTGAAAGCGCGTGGACGATCTGCGGCTTCAGGTGTTCCTGTTCCTGTGTGTGCAAATAGCGACGTTAACTTCTGCGCTTAAAGCGGTACACAGTAGTTATATATTATGTCCACAGTGTCTCAATTATTACGCCATTACGTGTGTGAATAATTTGACATCCAGAGGAATTGAAATTGTCTTCTGTTTAAATCTCAAGACATTTTTTTTAAATAGGAAAAGTCCTGCAATAAAAGATAAAATATTTCCGAAACGAAAGGAGAATTGTTATCCTATGTATGAACTCTTTAGTTTTTAATGCCCGCAATTAATATGAATATTAATATGAATATTAATTAATATGAATATTAATTAATATAAATATTATATTCGACATTTCCGACTTGAGATAACAGGAAAAAAATGACAAAGACATTATTTCAATCGGATAATCGAGATGTGGCGACGACAAAGTAGTAGTCAGACTACAAATTGGACAGTCATCACGGAAACCATTCATGAGTGCTCACTGACACGTAAATATTACGTGTAGTAAAACGTCTCGTACGGCTTCTCGATGGATTATAGAGAAAAGTTCGAAACAATCAATCGAAAGTTTATGCACACGCGTGACTTCAAACTTCTACAATCTCCGTATTATCTGCATCGTTTCATTTTATTGTCCGTTTTTTAACTTCCTAAAATCCTAAGTGCAAAACAAAACTACAAGAGACATGTAATGAAAAAAAAAAAAAAAGTTAACGATTTAACACAGCGACAGTTTGATCTTCATTTAAATCAATTTCTCTTCGTGTGCGATAAAACTACCTCGACGAAGATTCTCGAGCGAGCACACGCAATAATAATAACAGTCGAACCGCGCCGGAGCGCCGTAGCAGAGAACATGCAGCAGTTTCGCACGAAAGACCCGCTACGTGAGCGAAATATCAAAGGTACTGAGGTAATTACTATTTTGCGAGAGAAACATGTGCGAAGCAGGTAATTCGAAGATAGCAGTTGGAATTGTGTATGCATGTACACATAGCGATGAACTAATAAAGAGCGATTGATAAGTATCCGAAAACGACGCAATAGAGAGCGACGGCAATATCACGTTGCTTGTCGAGTTTTTCAATTCTTCAGAAAGACAAACACGCTGACTCGCTGTCGCACGTAACACGTTCGCGAACGTTTTCGATGATTTTTGACAATGCGCCACAGCTTGCAACGGCCGAAGTTTGCGAGTGGAGTGCGATTTCCGAAAAAAAGTGCTCGGTAGAAAGAAAATTTGCAACAATGAAGTCATCGATGCCGTAAATGGCTGTACGTCGGCGAGCTGTCACGCGAACCACGAGCGCGATAACGAGCCAGGCGTTTGACATTTCGTTCTTCCGAGGAGTGAAACTTCAGCGACAATGTGATACTACCACTACTGCTACTACTCTGTGTGTCGTTTCGGATACTTATCAATCGTAAAAATAACACCGCGAACTGATAGAAACAAATTTCACATTTGGGGGACGATCCAACTTGCGTATCTGTCAAAGCTAACGTTATTTTCGCGACAGAAAACATGTTACGTTGTATAAATCTTCGCGTGTGTGTCCCGCGAAAAAGGAGAGCATTTTTCACAAGTCAACCGAGTATATTCGAGCGCTCTCATTTTCCGCGTCGACTCGAATGTATATTTTCAAAAAGCGAAATTCCGGCAGAAAATTCCTCGAGACTCGAGAGAAACGCGAAATAAAACATTTGAGCGAGAGGATGAGTTTCGCGACTCACTGCCGGCGCGAGGGAGAGAACGCGCGCGGCGTCACACAAGAACACGGTAATGTAATTATTTTAATCGGATCGACGGCGATGAACGATGATACACGAATGAACGCGAGCCCGGAAAAACTACTCACGGGTTTTGCAGTCAAGACTTGCTCGAGCTGCGGAAGCTCGACGCGTACATCGCGTTATTTGATAAGTGCGCAAAAATCTTTCGCGTGAATACGAACGAATGTGATTGAGAAATAAATTTGCAAACAACATAATGAGATGTCCGAGAAATAAACAGAACTCGATGCGAACGAGATGCGAGCGAAACGCTCTTTGAATACGATTTCAAATGTATGAATAAATCAGAATTCGCGCTTTCAACGAGCGTTTTCAACCGTAGTTCGAATTTCCACCAAGTTCACCTTCACGGAGAAGTTTCGATCATACATTCTCTTCCGTTTTCGTCTTATTAGACGCGTTTATATTGTGTTCGAAGATCGTTATTTAATATTTCTCGTTTCGCGAACGCTGCGTTCCCTCGACGGCGCAGAGAGAATCCTTTCACGACGGGGGATCCATTTTCTTCGCCGAAATAATGATGTGCGCCACAAAAGACTTTTTCAGGATATTCCTCAAGGCCCGATTGGGGAGAGGACAGATTTTTCCGACGATGAGAAAATATTCATCCATCCCGAAGCACGGAAGAAAATTGTCGCAAAATCAATCAACGTAAAAAAAAAAAAAAAAACAAAAAACAAATAAACAAAGATAAATGCATTTCTAAAGAACAATCTATTCTGTCGGAGACAGTATTGGCGGGTGAAACAAAAAAAAAGACAAAGGCAAAGGCTGTGATGAGTAAATAAATGTGGATGTAGAAGTAGCAAACTAGATTTTAAACAACGTCACACACCGTTGTGTGTGTGTGTGTGTGTGTGTGTGTGTCAAAAACTGCAGCCTACCTCATGATCGCGATAATACGGTTCGCGGAGCTTTTCTGGCACTCGATTGTTGTACGCTTTCGACAGAAGCCATTTTACGGAGGCACGTTGTTTAGCCTGAAACACAGAAGAGAGAAACGACATTAAAACGTTTGTGTATTAAAAATATCAATTATTTTATATCGAACAGTTAATTGTTTTTTTTTCTTTTTCTTTTTTTTTTTTTTTGTTCCGCTTTGGAAGCTTCCTTTTGAGCTTTTCTCACTTTTGTTATCCGACGCGGAATTATCGGAGCAAATCACTTCGCTGTCATACAAAAAGCGCCTCGGGATGAAACGCGAGAAGTTTCATCATCATCATTATCATTAATAATCATTCGTTAACTTACAAGAGCGAACGCATACAACATGCGCAATGTAATAAGCTGCCGCGCCGCGTTATTCCGCTCGGGTACGTAAAAAAAAAAAAAAAAAGAAAAAAAATGCGCCTTATATACGTGTATATATATACATATATATCGCTGTGAAATCTAAGTTTTTATTTCACTGTGCATTTTCTGATTTCACACTAACTTTACCGATTTCGCCCATCAGACCCGAGACGTAATTATCTCCCGCGCATTGCTTCCCGTAATAAATGTACGGTTGAACGAAAAGGAAAGCCAAAAATGGCATCTCTCAACTCGCTCGACAGACTTTGAAAACTTTCACGCAGTATGTAGGTAAGTACCGCCGCAACACACTTCAAACTTCATCTCCTAAAACTTTTTATTTCCGTTACATTTAATATGTGACTGTGTTTCTCGTAAAACAAAAAAGAAGTCGAGAGTTCGTATTCTCTCTTCGCAAATTTCTCGTCGAATCGATGATTTTTTGCTCGCTTCGGTTCTGGAAATTTTGTTCTTAAAAAAGAAGGACATTTTTTATTCATCGCCAACTTAAACATTACAAAATACGCATGCGCGCCACCGCGCGCGTCGCGTCACGAGGCGTGATTTTCGCGTTCTACACGAGTTCCGAACTTTCCTGTCGAAAGTTGGGCCCCTCTCTCTCTCTCTTTCAAGGCATGCAAAATTGCATGCCTAATCAATTTGTCGAGTGCCACCTAAATGGGAACGAGCCAGACGAGGAGGAGGAAGAAGGAGAAGAGCGTCGAGGGAAGCTGGAGGGTTAGGAAGGATGGGAGTGGCCGTCGTATGAGGTCACGCCGCGCGGTTATGCGCTGCTATGAAGATTAAAGTGGCACGAGGAAGTTTCTGACGCTCCCGCAAAAACGCCGCATGCGGTGCACAGGCCGCGGCGACGGACGACGACGACGACGACGATAATCGCGGCGAGAAGAAATCGACAATTATAACGTAGACACAATGAGGCGAAAATCTCTCGCGGGAGAGAAACGAAGCTGCGTTCGATTTTGTGTTCCTTTCAATTACCGGTAACGGAACGACTCTGTCCTCGTCAGAGAGAGAGCGTGCACGGGACGCATCCTTTTAATTAATTCCAGTCCTTCTCACACGCGGACTAATGCGTTGACGTTAATTTGAAACGAACGAAAATCTGAAACAGATCTTTCGCGAGAAGAACAGAAAGAGATCGTTGACGCGAAAGTGGAAAATGTAATTTAATGCAAATAAAAAACTTGTTTGTACGTACGTAAAATTTATTCTTTTAATTGCGGCGCGTGTTACGTGACGCTCGTTTTTTTTTTCAAAGAACGAATACGAAATTTCGTCAAACGACAACAGCAATGCGATAATATGCCCCGCTTTCTACGCGTTTCGTTTCGAATACCTACTTTATATCGATACGAAGATGTTCCTTCGATCCGTATTTTGAGAATAAATAATCGCGAGATCAAGTTCCATCGAAATAACGTATCTACCGGCAGACCAGGTTGACTTTATCCAGTCGCGTATCAGACACACGTACACAAACGTAGATCTCGCAATAAAACCCACTGATCTACTTTAATAAAAAAAAAGAAAAAAAAAACAGTTACCGTACCGAGACATCGATTATTGGCTGCTACCTCGGTGTGTGTGTGTGTGTGTGTGTAACGATGTTATCCTGATAACGCGCGCGCGTTATCTACAGCACATGTGGGAGCGGTTCGTCTACCTGTAGGTAGCTGTCGCACGTATTTCGTAAAAATAAATGCAATAACTATGTACGTTTTCAATTTGGTGCGAGCATTTCCGAAGCCAAGTCATCGCAGAAAGAGAGAGCAAAACGAAAACGACGTCACTTTGGCAAGTTCTCCGAATCGTGAAATTGAAATGCGAAAGAGATCGCGGTATGACATAATCCCGAAGGACTAACACAGCGACACGAAAGATGCAGAAGTTCACCGGCGTGTGAAAAATCCGCGGAAATATAAAATTTCCACTGAATGCGTTTGCATTTTCTTGCGGAACACGATTGGAAGATTGTCCGATTTATTTGTCCGTCGATTGATCATCCAATCAAAGAATAATGCATAATTCTGATTGATTAACATATATTTAACTTCTGTCGAGGAGAAAATCAGCTGGACGAATCGACCGACGATTCGTCCGGTGTAACAATCTCGCGAAGTGAAGATTGAAGATTCTCAAGATTATAATTTAGTAGATGACATTCTTTACAAATCGCGTCACGTAAATCGTCGGGCTCTCAAGTTCCGCCACTTCGCGGACCATCTTCTGTACACACCTCTCTCGTGTGCATAAACTCGAGACACACATGTCCGACGAGGATTCACAGAAGAAGCGACGACGCACGCCCGCACGTGCGTGACGTTTACGTTAGTCTATAAAAAGAATCTGTCTCATCTCGCGCAATAACAACTTTGGTTATACGGCGACACGCGAACGCATCGCGCCGCGAAAGAATAACGCGCGACGATTCGATTCGAGCGCGCGATCGATCCGATCGATCGCGCGCGAGGTGAAGAGGAGAAACGGTCGCGGCTCGGTGATCCACGATGGTCGCGTCATCGATCTTTTATTAACTCGGGCGACTCGGGCCGGTCTTCGTTTTGTGATTCCGATCTTGTTGCGTTTCGACGCGACGAAAACAAAAGAAAAATGACCTTCGTCGGCTCTCGTTTATCGCGATCGCGCGGGCTCTTTTCCGATACTCGAGTTTTCGATTCAAAATCGGAGACGAGGAAGAGGAGAGTGTATAAACTTGCGATGTGTCGGAAAATCGTGTCCGAACGCGCAGAATCGAGTTCGCGATGTTGAACTCGCAACAGCGAGATTCGCGGAGGAGACCTTTAATTCGGAACAGATGTTGCTTCCAAGCAAAACCGGCGAGATTGACTTCGCGATGTGCAAATAGAGATACGGAAATTATTTCTTAATTACCAGACGTATCAAAAATAACGACATGATACATCACGAAAATTAATTAACATTAATGCTCAGGCAATAAAACAAGTTTTCTGGGGTTTTTTTCTTTTTTTTTCGGGAAGAAGAAGGTAAACGAAGCAAGAACATCGCCGAGACGGAGACACGCGATAACGTCGATCAAGAAGATAACAATCGTCGCGCGCGGGGGAGATCCACAGTCTAATAATCGCGGCGGGCAGCAGGAAGTTTTAAGCTTTGCTGGCTAAGTATTTCAGTCGTGTATGTATTCGCTCGTTAGCGACTCGGATTACTCTTAAATCATCTCACCGCCGTCTTCCTCCTTTCCGAGGATTAATTGCTCGTACGTAAGGCACGCAAATTAAATGCCGAGCGTGTATGTGTGTGTGTGTGTGTGTATATATATATAATTTATAGACAACGTCGCGCCGCGAGAGGAGAATATAAAAAACTTATCGCGCGCTCGAGTTCGAGTTTACTCGTACGTGAACCAACGTTCTTGAAAAATAAAAAAACGCGATTCTGTGTTCGCTCGCGTCGCGGTTACACGCGGCGCGGAAATCGAACTCCTCTCGAGCACCGTGCTCGGTCATCGCAAAGCCACCTGCAGCAGCAGCAGCCGCCGCGTTTCTTTCGTGGTATTTCTCGATACTGTCCCGCGCGGAACTTATCGGACTACTTACACGGGCACGTGAACGTGTGCGGTTATAGGCGCGGTTTAAGCGTGTCGAGCAATAAGAGGCCGCGCGCCTAGCTGATGCATATAAAACCTTCCGCGTAAAGAGCGAGTGAAAGACCACGACGCGAGTCCGGGATTACACCGGCGGCATCGCGTTTCACTGATTGGAATCAACGGTGTAACCGTAGCTTTACGTACCGAGGAAAATCCAGCGCTGATCTCCACAAAAAATTATGGCGAAACATTTTCCTCGAGTTGCTCGCGAACGACAACTCGAGAAAAATGTTCCGTTGTAACTTTTGACTCTTCGATTTTTCTTTTTATTGTATCAATCGGTTTACGAGCGGAAGAAGAAGCAGAAGCAGCAGCAGCGGAAGAAGAAGAAGAAGAAGAAACAAAAGGATATAAACGAGAGTTGATGTTCCCGCGTCCCGTGTCTTTTACGAGAGACACTCGCGTGTTCGGCAAACTTGAAAAGCTCCTTTCGACTTTTCATTATGTTTTTTGTTTGGATTCTTAATAAATTTGCGTTGTACGTAAAATTGTTAATTAAACGTTGCTTCGAGAAGACGGGAGTAAAACAAATGCGATGATAATATTTCTTAATTGCGCAAATAAAATGGATGTCGGTACCTCCCGGTGTGCGGTAGTCTTATTAATTAGGGTCAGTTCGCGAGAGAGAGAGAGAGAAAGAGAAAGAAGGACGAGGAAATGGAGTTCTTGTAGAACGGACTCTCCTGCTGCAGTCGAGACCGCTGTATTCCGTTTAACGACTAAATAATCACGCATTTCTCGTCGGTCGCTGAAATCGTTAGGGAACGGTATCCGTTCATTTAGCGCTCGTTACACACTAGAGCTGGAAAAAAAAGTATCAATTTTAACATCCCGTCAGTTTGACCTAATTAACATCTTGTCTGCTGTAACTGTTTTTTTTTTTTTTTATGTATAATAAGTTTTGTGTTTTATCGCACACGCGCTCTTTCTAGAACATTCTCGAAGATTAAAAATTCACTTCATCGCGCTCTTTTCCAAGAAATATACATCGATCAGCATTTATATTAATACAAAATCGTGTGTGCCTGCTGCCGT